GGCAAACATAGATATCAAAGGCCTTCATAGCAATAGGGAAAATAGAAACTTGATTAAAATCACTTTTAGGAAAGGAAAACTAACTTTTTCTCATAATTTGGTAGAACTTTGGAACTTTGTTTCTAAGTGATGGAGGCTAGCAGAAATCAGAAGAGGTCAAAAGACAGAACAGATACAAAATTCAAGACTGAGAGTGGAGAGTATCAAAATAGAGTGTTGAGACAGAGAAGGAAAATTTTGGCAAGTGAGTAGCAGGAGTGACGGCAAAAAATGGTTTAAGTTTGAAAAGCAAGAGTGTAGGGTGAGAGGGATAGCCAGGGAAGTAAGGGTACCTACCACGTGATTATGCCAGGAGGCAGGGGTGGAAGAAGTGAAGTTGGCAGTGGTAAAATTGATGGACTATGCAGAAGATAGCTAGGCTTGAACAGGAATATCAGCTAAGGCTATTGCTGTAAACTAATGGAGATGGAGAGGAGTGGGATGAAGTAAAACAGACAACCCATTTTGCCTATTCTAATGAGTCTTAATTAACTCCTTTGGCTAAAAACTTCCCATGACAGAACACAGCAGCCTCCAGAGCAACTTGAAGAAACTACTGGGACACACAGTTAACTAAATACATAGCTTTAGTTTTCTTTAGCCAGCTGTTTTCCATCATGTAGGTCAAGGTGTGAATCTAAATTCGCCAATAAGGAAATAAGCAAAAAAAGCTATGAGCTGTATATCCTATTTCTGTTACTAGTAGCCATACTGTAAAAGATTATTAATTTTTTAGGAGGTCCAATTAATAAATTTTGAATTCTTAGGGCCAACAGGAGAAGGAATTGTGGCATGGCCATCCCCTCCAGGGTTGATTTCTCACTTTCTCTCTTTCTCTCTCTCTCTCTCTCTCTCTCACTCTCAAATTCCTCAGGCAAGCTACTAGGCAAAAAATAAAATAATAAAATAAAACAATACAAACCTAGCAAATGTCTTGTAAGTCATTTTAACCTGGTAACCTCAGAAATGAATAAATATTGAATTAATGGCTTTCACTCCTGGCAGTATATTAGAATTATATAGGAAATTTCTCATTTAAATTATGATTAGTCTGGGGTAGAGCATGAATATCAGAATTTCTTAGAAGCTTACAGGTGATTCTAAGTATTGAGAACTACTACATGTGGAAGAGACTCAATGAGGAAAATACAACTCTAAGTAGCATAATATTAAAATATGTTTTAAGATGTAGCTAGGATTTCCCAAGACCTCATGTAGCCTTTGCTTTTACTTCATGGTGTGAAAAGAAGGCATAATGGTGATTCTGGCCTATCTCAGTAAGGACTCACCTCCTGAGGTCATTATGGCTCTTTCTTTCAAGAAAAAGAAACATGAAAGTCTGTTGATTAATTAAGCTTATTTATGAATATGTCTGATAAGCTTAAATTACATTGTTAGTATTGATGGGTCCTGCTATTTCTTTATTCATTTATTTTAAGTTGTATAGACCAACTTATTATTTCAGTCTCTGACTATGTATTCAATGATTTGATGTGGCAGAAACTGGGGAAAACATCTGTATTTCAAATAGAGATCTAAAGCAGTAGGCTGGATTAACTACAGCAATTGGTAAGAAGCATAGACATGTTTTTAGACCCAAGAAAAATAGATACTGAAAGAATGCTTTCTCAAAAGTAATTCTTCTATGGGAAAATAGTGATAAACACAAACTTTTGCAGACTCTAGAAAGTCATTTTGATAAACAAACAGTGTTTAAAAAAAATTCAGAAACCATTGGTTACAAGGCAACATATGAGTGTCTAAGTATTGTCAAAAACTCAACTAACTCAGGAGTTATGTGTGCATCTTAAGTGGTTGATAAACATTAATAATGGCCTATAAGTTTAAATAGGAAAAAAATCCTGATAAATATTAGATAAGAATAAATTTCAAGTCTTGTAAAACACTATAGACATATGAGTGGAATCAAAATGTTCAAACTTGTCAAGGTATAAAACCCTCTTTCAAAAAAAAAAGGCTGTCAGGGAAACCAGCAGTTAGCGTAATGGCTATGTCGTTGGACTCCCACGTAGTCGACTGCGGTTCGTGTCCCGGACCCGGTGGCTTAAAACTCACGCCGGGCACGTGTGCGTGCATGCCCAAGATCCTGAGAGGAGAATGGAGAAGGGATTGCGGCGTGACCATCCCCCCTGGGGGGTGATTTCTCGCTTTCTGTCTCTATGTCTCTCTCTGTCTGTCTGGCGAGCGCACGTGCCCTACAGTGAAAATCTCTCAAAAAAAAAAAAAAAAAAGGCTGTCAGGAAAACACAATGAGAAAAAGTCTTTCTTGATTGAAAACCAAGCTCTGGACCCACATCTGCTTACCCATAGCTCCTTTGGGTCTTAGTCCACTGACCTGAAACTAGACTTTTAACCCCATCTCTCACTCTCATAGATTGAATTATTATCTACGAAGGTCTTTAGATCAATAAGGTAAAGTTCCACAAAATTCCTTAAAACCCTAGAGAGAAAATAATTTACGTTTAATCTGGAATTCTTGCTATCAGAGATATTAAAATATTAATAATTAATGATTTATAATACAATTATTTGGCAACTAGATTGGAGTACAGCTAGTCCCCACTCAGAATAGTTTGGTTTAGGATTTTACAGTTTTACCATGGTGTGAAAGCAATACACACTCAGTAGAAATTATACTTCAAGTACCCATACAGCTATTCTTTCACTTTCAGTATAGTATTTAATAAACTTCATGAGATTAAACACCTTATAATAAGGTGTTTACTAAACACTTTAATTAACATTTTATTTTAAAATAGGTTGCTATGTTAGATGATTTTCTTCAACCATAGGATAATGCAAGTGTTCTTGAGCACATTTAAGGCAGGCTAAGCTAAGCTATGGTGTTCTGTAGGCTAGATAAATTAAATGCATTTTTGACTTACAATAATCTTTAACTTACAAGGGGTTTATTAAGAGGTAAATGGAGGAGCATCTGTAGTATTTATTTGTTGTTGTTTTTAGTTTTTTGCCATTATGCACATATGCTCACTGGAGAAAGAGAGAGAGGATAAGTGAAAAATCACTTCCAGAGGGGGTAGCCACACCACAATCCCTTCTCTTCTACTATCCACTCGGGTTTTGGGCATGCACACACATGCATCCAGTGTGATTCTCAAGGGTCTGGGACTCAAACCATAGTCAAACATGTGAGAATCCAGCACTTTATATGCCATGGCACCTACTGGCCCCCACATCTGTACTATTTAAAAGGGAAAAAACTGAACAACAGACATTGCCATCTAATTTAAAGTATCTTGGTAAAAAAAAAAAACCACCCTGAAATTTGAATGAACTCAGCATAAAATTACTTCTGCAGAAAACATAGGAGGACATGGACATCTTTGGGGGAGAAAGGACATTATTCTGCCTATCGCAAAAAGAAAACTGGATTTTCGGGAACCAGCAGTTAGCGTAATGGCTATGTTGCTGGACTCCCACGTAGTCGACCGCGGTTCACGTCCCGAACCCGGTGGCTTAAAACTCATGCCAGGCGCGTGTGCATGCGTGCCCAAGATCCTGAGAGGAGAATGGAGGAGAAGGGATTGCGGCATGACCATCCCCTCTCGGGGGGTGATTTCTCGCTTTCTGTCTCTATGTCTCTCTCTGTCTGGCAAGCGCACGCGCCCTATAGCAAAAACCTCTCCAAAAAAAAAAAGAAAAAGAAAACTGGATTTTTTTCAGAATGAGTTAAACCCTCATCTGTCTTTAAGTCTTCTAGATGTCTTCAGATGCTCAAGTCTCCTTCTCTGCAAATTAATGAGACTTCTCCCTTTCCCTTTATGGTTCATAAACTGTGATGTCCTTCATGCTGTGCTCTTTGATTTACTATAGGATATAGTACTTTTTCTCTTCCACGAAACAGGAATTCATTCAGAATCACACCTAATGCATATGCTATTCCTTGTAGTCAATTTAAATATTGTAATTTTAAAATTTCGTTTCTGTCTTTTGTTTATCTATACACACAACTGCTGCATCAGAGACTCTGCCAGAGGCAAGTACAGTATATTTTACTCTCTTCAGATGATTTATACACAGCAACACAAAGATAAAGGGCTTTATTGATGCTTTTATCACTTAACAAGCACATGGCAAAGCAAGTATATATTTTATAGACAGAAAACACAGATAAGTGCTTATTTTAAGTCAAGCTATCAAAACACATCAAAATAGGTAGGTTGAAGAAAATACCTTCATAAAACAAGTCACCAAAAATTTCCATCAAATCCATTTTGCCATGTTTAAAATATAGTTTTCTACACATTTTTTTTTCAGGCACTCATTTAGTACTTAAAAGTTAGGCTCCCAGTAATGATCTCCTTAGGTCTTCTTCATAGGAGAATTACATCTAGATGCCCCAGTATCTCAGAGCTGAAAGGAAACTTATAAATCTAGTTTCCCTATTTAATAAATGAGGAAACTGAGGCTCAGTAAGGTTAAAAAAAAGAAAAGCAGAGAATCATATTTATTTTATGGTTAAAACATAGGCTTTGTTTGCATGTGAACATTATTCAGAACTAGGACCAAAAGGGAAGATTCTCACATTGTCACCCTTGCAAAGGACAACACTCTTGCTCACAGCTTAACCTTGAGAATGGATAATAAACACAAACCAGTGGAGCAAGAGGCCTAAGGAAAGAAGGGCGTTACTCACACTAATGGAGTGCACCAACAGTAATGGGAGAAAACACAGTCCCTTGAGAAATGATAGTTCAGCATGGTTACCCCAGTTTAAAAATTAGTTAAACATTGTAAGTCACAGCGTGCTTGATTTTTAATAAATAGGCAAGTTAATAATCTTCCTTCTGAGGATTTTATCTCTGATGCTGCAACAAATTTAAATCAGTACAATATGTAATTATATATTTTCATCAGAGTATAAAGACATGCAGTAGAAAACAGCTAACCTCCTCCCATAGCTTTTACCCTGCCCTCACCTCTTCTCTCTTCTCTTCTCACACTGGTGAATCTGTGCAGACATGCTGGGCGGTGTTTTCAGTCATGCTTCACTTATGCCATGCACCTTCAGTCTCTGAAATCTCTATTCTTCCTCTCTCCTGCCTCAGATCTCTACAGCTGAAGACAATGAGAAAATGAGAAAAATTGTAAGAGCTCACTAAAGAAATACAACACTATCATATGTGGTGATGAAAGTTTAATTCAGTTTGAATTAAAACAGGAGCCTCCAAGCAAAAGTTTAACATGGAAATCATTCCCAGGACATCTCCCTCCCATAACCATCATCACAGGAAAAGGCTTCGGAAAGATTTTGACTTCCTTGAGTATCTCTGTATTTCCTGGGTTCTTCTCACAAACAAAGGCTTTAGAAAGTCTCAAAGAGCTGACAGAGAGCATGCTTACAGCATGGCTTGCAGTGATGTTTAGTCGATAAATGCTTCCTGCTGTTGCAACATTTTAGGAACTGTGGCGGGTGCTGAGATAAATGTTGAAGACACAAATCTGGAGCTTTGATTCTAGTGACAATTGACTAACACTTAACCTTCTGACAGAAAGATTTGGTCTGGATTTAAGGTTCAAAGAAACTTTATCACCTGTTCTAGATTCAAGATTGAAACAGACATCATCACCAGGTGTGAACCAGAGTTGGCACATGGTCATACATTTATTTAATTAGAATCGTTTCCAGGGCCAGCTGTGGTGGCACAGCTGAAGCACATGTTCTGTGATGCTGGACCTGTATTGGAGGGTCCTGGGCCCACATTTGGAGGTCTCCCTATACACATCATGTGTGCGCATACATAACCACGATCTGGGCTGGCTGGGTTTAGAATCGTATCATGAAGAACCCTCCCTTTTGAGAGTCTCTCTCTGTGCATGTGTGTGTGTGTGTGTGTGTGTGTGTGTGTGTCTTTCTCCTATTAAATAAGTAAACTTTAAATAATGTCTTCTTAACCAGTTTCCTGACTCCTCTGTAGAAGAGTTGGAGGTGTCTTGATCATCATCATCATCTTGATCATCATCATCATCTTGATCATCATATTCTGCACCTCAGGCAAGATCATAAATATAGTAAGTATTCAATAATTTTTTAATTATTTTATTAATGATAGGAAGTGCATGCTCATGTATGTGTAAGACAGAATTACCCTTGACAGGATCTCAGCACACTATGATCTCCTTTCCCCACCCCTCCAGCTGATTGGGATCCTGGGCACAGGCATGCACTCCCAGTGTTATTTCAGGACGACTGGGGGATCTAAACCTCCAGTCAGTTGTATGGTTTATAGCACTGCAATTCATGATAAATTTTATTTCATCCAGGAACATCCAGGAGCTTGTCAAGATAATAAAGCCAAAAAGGATTGGCAAAGAAAAATAAAGGTGTGTCAAAGAAACAATGCTGGAAAGGACATATAGATGATCTGTTCATCTTTAGAACTTTAGAGCAAATCAGGTGGTGGACTAGCCAAGGTGAGAAATAGAATCAACCTGGGGAATCATCATATCCTATCCATGGTGCTTCAGAGAACCAAATTCCAAGTGGAAATTTGAGTTCAAAGTCAGAAAGCTTTCATGAAGAAGCAGTGAAGGAAATCAAGAGTGAGTTATGGACCCTAGAGGCAGGATCTTCTCTCTACCCAGTTTCATAAGGTATAATTGACAAATAAAATTCATATATATGTGTGGTATACAATGTTATGTTTTGATATATGTATCCATTATGAAATTATTAAATCAATTTAATTAAAATATCCATCACAGACTTATTCTTCTGGCGAACTTAAAATCTACTCTCCTGGGGGCCAGCAAGTAGCATAATGATTAAGGTGCTGACTCACACATAACTGACCATGGTTTGAGTCCTGAATCTGGTGACTTGAAACTCATACTGGAAACGTGTGTGCACATCCTCAAAATCCCAAGAGAAGAATGGAGGAGAAAGACTTGCAGCAAGGCCATCCCCCTGGGATCTCTCTCTGTCTCTCCAGTGAGTGCTTGTGCCCCATAGCAAAAATATCTACAACAATAATAATAATAATAAAATCTATTGTCCTGTAAATTTGTAAGTATACAATACATTATCAATAAAGTCACCAAGCTTTACAATAGTTTTTCAGAAATTATTTTATCTAACTGAAGTTTTGTTCTCTTTGACCAACATCTATCCAATTCCTTACCCCACTATTTTTTGCAACTATAATTCTATTCTCTGCTTCTATGAGTTTAACTATTTCAGATTTCAAATATGAGATTATGTAGTACTTGTCTTTCTGCGCCTGATTTATTTCACATAGTACAATGTCCCCCAAGTTCACCCATATTGTCACAAACAAAAAAGTTTCCTCTTTTTAAAAAAGGATAGTGTTTAATTATTAGTGTGTGTGTGTGTGTGTGTGTGTGTATGTGTGTGTATGTGTTTAGTGCATTCATTCTTTGATGAACACTTAGGTTGATTTCATATATAGGCTATAGTGAATAAACATCAGAGTGCAGATATCTCTTCAGCATACTGTTATCAATTTCTTTGGATATATACCCATAAATGTGATTGCTGGATCATATGGTTGTTTTATTTTAACACATTTAAAGAACTTTCTTATTGTTTTTCATGATTTCCATAATTTACCTTACCACCAGTAATATGCATGGTTCCCTTTCCTCTATGTTGTCATCTACAATTATCTTTATTCTTGTTAATAGCCATTCCAAAAGGTGTGAAATGATTATCTCGATATGATTTTTATTTGCATTTCCCTGATGATTGATGATGTTGAGCATTTTTAATATACCTGCTCACTAAATATTTGTATGACTTTTTAAAAGTTTACTTATTTCATATGAGAGAGAAGCCCCATTAACCAAATCTCACCCCAGGATCCACCTCTCCCCAACTCCAGCCTTCTCAGCCAGCCAGGATCATGGACACAGGTTCAGCATGTGCAAGTCGCTGGGAAAGAGAACCTGCACTCTTCTATGTGAATTCAGATTCACTTGACCAGTGTATTACTGCTGCACTACTGAAACAGAAATGGCTCTACATGTCTTTTGAAATATGTCTTTTTAGCCTCTTTGCCCATTGTTCAATCCAGTTGTTTCCTTTCTATTAAGTTGTTTGGGTTCCTTATATATTATGGCCAATCCCTTATCAGATTTATGTTTAAAAATATTTTCTCCTCTTCTGCAGGTTGCCTCATCACTTTCTTGATTATTTCCTTTACCAAGTAGAAGCTTTTGGTTTGATGTCATCCTGTTTGATTATTTTTGGTTTTGTAGCCTGTTTTGTTTTTGTTTGTTTGTTTGTTTGTTTTTGGGAGAGTTTTTTTGCTATAGGGCACGTGCGCTCACCAGAAAGACAGAGAGAGACAGAGAGACAGAAAGTGAGGAATCACCCCCAAGTGGGGATGGCCACACTGCAATCCCTTCTCCTTCAGTCTCCTCTTGGGATCTTGGGCATGCACTCACACATGCCTGGCTTGAGTTTAAGCCACCAGGTCCGGGAATCAAACCACGGTCGACTACATGGGAGTCCAGCAACATAGCCATTGCACTAATTGCTGGTCCCTGTAGCCTGAGTTTTTTGAGGTCACATCTAAAAATCATTGCCTAGACCTGTGTTAGAAAGGCTTTTCCCTATATTTTCTTCAAGTAGTTTTATAGTTTCAGGTCCTACATATAAGTTTTCATTCATTTTTAAGTTGATTTTTGTATATGGTATGAGATAAAGGTCATTTACATTCTTCTGCATGGTATGTGAATATCTGGTTTTCCCAATATCCTTTACTGAAGAGAATGTCCTTTCCTCACTGTGTGTTCTTGGTACTTTCATCAAAGATCAATTGACCATAGACGCATGGATTTATTTCTAGGCTCTTTATTCTGTTCTGTTTGTCTGTATGTCTGTTTTTAATACCAGTAGTATATTTATACCATGCTTTTTTTAACTGTCATGGTTTTGCAGTATTTTTTAAAGTTAGGTTGTATTATACTTTTGCTCAGGATTTTTTTGGTCATTCAGTGTGTTCTTTGTGGTTCCACACAAATTTTATAATTGTCTTTCTATTTCTGTGAAAAATATCATTGGAATTTTGTTAGAGATTGTATAAAATCTATAAATTCCTTTGAGTCAGTTTAAACATTTTAACAATATTAATTCTTTCATCCATGAACATGGGATCTCTTTCCATTATTTGTACTTTTTTCAATTAATTTTATGAATGCCTTATAGTTTTCAGTGTAGATCTTTCACCTCCTTGGTTATATTTATCTCTAGGTCTTTCTTTGTAAGGTTTAGTAAATGGAATTTTAAAAATATCTTTCTCTGATACTCATTGTTATATGCATAGAGAACTGATGCACATAGAACTGATTTGCTATGTTAAAGAATTATTTTATTTATTGATTTTTATTTTTATCTTTTTATTTTTATCTATTTTTATTTGACCAGAGAGGTTCAGAGTGAAAGAGAGAGAAAGAGAGGAAAGTGAGAAAGCAAGCCACCAGGTCCAGGCCTCGAACTGCATTTGACCATGTGGGAGTCCTGTGACCTTAACCACCATGCCACCTGCTGGACCCTGCATGTTTATTTTTGTACCTGCAATTTAATGAATTTGTTTACTAGCTCTAGCAGCTTTTTTGTGGTATTTTTGGGGTTTTCTATGATATTTACAAGATCATGTCATCTTCAAACAGAGACAGTTTAAAAGAAAAATAAAAAAAAAAACAGAGACAGTTTTATTTCTTCCTTTCCAATTTACATGTTTTTTATTTTTCTTGCCTAATTGCTCTGACTAGAACTTCTAGTACAATTTTTTTTTCTTTTAACTTTCTATGGGAATGTGCATTCACTGGCAAAACAGAGACAGAGAGAGACAGAGGGAAAGAGAGAAAACATTCCCAGGGTTGCCATATCACAATCCCTTCTCCAGCCTAATTTTCAAGCCACTGTATACAAGAAACCAATTGTGCAGTTGGCCCTATAAGATCAGACACCTTAAGCACTGTGCCACCAGCTGGCTCTGATTTCTAGTACGATATTGAATAAAAGTCAGAATAGGCATTCTTGTTTTGTTCCTGAATCATACTCGAGTTTGATGTTAACTGTACTATTGTCACAT